AGAGTAAGATTGACAGCTAAGCCGTTCATTGCCCATGGACATGGTTTCGTCTCAAAGACTACGTTAACAGCCTGCTGGAGCTTGCTCGTCGATAGTAGGCCTTTGTGGCCACCAAGGATGGATGCCGAGAGTTCAGTGGCTATAACTTTGCGAGATATGTTGTATTTGAGAGCCGAGAATGAACTTCTATCAAGACTTTTGCCCTTGAAGAAGATTGTCACGCTTCCCGTGCCAGATTCAAAGGCGCATGGTGCAGAGGGCTCACATTCGATAGTGTCGAGTGGAAGGATCCCTCCGAAGATCTCTAAGCCCTCTCCCCCAACGTATAGGAGCGCCGTGGACATATCCAATGAACCATGATGAGGGGATGTGTCTCCAGAAGTCGGAGCTGGCATGCTCAGAGTTGGCAAAGGTATCAAGGCGGGCGTATCGCAAAGTGTACCGTCCGAAAGTAAGCAGAGGTCTAGGATGGCCAAACGCGGAGGAGATTTGTCGCTGACAACAAAGCCTAGTAGCACTCTGGCGCCACGCTTCATGTTCTTAGGCTTATCGTTGCCACCAGCATCTGCCGTCGAGCCCGATCCATCATTCATGTCAGCCTTTTCCTCTGATACGGCAACTTGCTCGTTGTAGACTGTGGCACAGAGACCACCTGTGGTCTTCACTGAGGATGGTACGCGCAGAACCTTGCGAGCAATGCCGTGGCTTCCCACCATCGGCGCAGAGAGAGTTTTCCAGACGTCTGGAGATGTCTTTCCTCCTTCAGTTGAAGTAATCGTTAGATGATGACTGCTGGTCCCATCGAAGACTGTCATGCCGGAACCTTCGTCAAAGTGCCAGCACGACTTCAAATCCAGTTCGAGACCTTTGGCGCGGGAGCGCATCTTGGACTTGATGGTCGAAGGATGGAGCGGACGACGCCATAAACGCATTTCGTCAAAAAGTCCTTTGAAGCAACTTGACGATCCATTTGGCTGCGGTCCAAGACCCAATAGAGCCCCGGGGCGTAATTTACTGGTGACGGAGCCAGAAATCACGCCGTTGATTACGATGGCGTAATTCTGAGTGCTTGGATCGTAGGTGATGGCGACGTGACTCCAAACCTTGGCTTCAAGACCCGCACTTGACGCAACAAGAGCATCATCCTCTCCAGGTTTCCGAATCTCTACATGATACTTGTCGTTGATGAACACTCCGGGACTATTCTCAGAAAAGCGAAAGAGAGAAAAGCCTCCTTTGACAGATCCATCTGCCAAGCTTCCGGTGTCATTTATGGAATCTTCCGGCTGAACCCAGACCTCGACTGTGAAGCCCTCCAGTAGGCTTGTCATCTCCGGGTGATCGTGTTTTTGTAGAGTGAGTCCATTTTTGTCGCTCAGCTCCACCGAACGCTTTGATGCGGGCGTCTCAGGCAAGATTGGGACCCGCGCCTTGCCACATATCCTCCCGTCGTCCTTTCTTGTGGCCGTACAAGGCCCTGGGCCGTTGGCGAACACCTTGTCATGCTCCTTAACTTTGCAAGTGTAGTAAACGTGTCCATGGAGGTCAAATAGACCGTTTGACGAAACATCGGTGGTCAAGCACTCCACCTCTCCTGTCTTGTGGGAGTAGGCGATTATCATCCACTTGGCCACGTTGTTGATCATGGTGGGGGCTCGGAGGACGCAAAAGCGACCGAGTTCAAGGTCTTGGACGAATCTCAGTGAATATGTTGGTTCATAGAATGGTTCATCATTGATGTCCTTGACACTGAGCGTATCCTGGTCGTTCAGCGGAATCTGCTTCTGTCGGCTACGCTGATATCGAGCCTCCAAAGGCTGATTGAGAGTTGAACCAACGAGTATGAAGCGGTCACAGAGTAGGTTGCGGTCTACTGGGGGGTTTCCGGCGTCTCCTTCTGTCATGAACTGGTTCGGAAACCCATTCTCCATCGGTGCACTCTGACGGAACAAGTACACATAACGACCGTCGGAAAGTAGTTGGAAGTCTAAGACGTCTTGGTCAATGAGGCATAAGGAGGAGGATAGCCATTCATCAAGCTTCTGCCCATGAGCCGGTGATCGGACAGTCTTTCGGTTGCTTCGATCGACGGCGGGAATCTGGTAGACAGGAACGGCCTCTTCGCCGATAACCCTGACCTCTGACGGAAAATTCAGTGTCTTCACGTTATCGAACCAGCACTTCGAGTCACACTTTTCGTCCACCGCGGCTGTGCTCGACGCCTGCTCCTTGTCCATCTGACTGCCAGCTGCAGTATCGAGGATTGAATAGTTGAATGACAGAACGCCGTTCTTCGCCTTGGCCAAGGCGACCGCGATTGTAGTGCCATTGTGCGTAACAACTCGAGTAGAGACGTACTCTCCATCCAGTTGCGCCTTGTAGCGTTGCAAGTTGGGAGCGAGAATATCTTGGAGTTCTTGGAGTGTCATGACGAAGGATAACGTCCTTGCTTGATTCGAACAGGAATTACCCAGTCCAGAGTGAACTGGCAGTGTTTGGTGGCGAGAAAGAATAATGGCTTGCAATTTTGTTGCCTGTCTTTGGTAAACTGGACAAATTGGGGATTGTCGTGAATCGCGACTATGTGTGTTGCGAAATGGAAATCACGGTAGCATCGAATAAATCTGGCGGCTGATGGACGCTGTTCCCACAGATTGGTGGACTGGCAGAATGATACCAGACTCTGTCGACGTTCAGCTTGGCTGTGCCAAGCTGCAGCCCGCTGTAAGACATTGTAGTTTGTGGCGTGGTCCAGGCACCATTTACGGCAAGTTGGCAAGGGAGTTTTGTACATGCTAGCTTGGCTATTTGACGATCTGTCACAGTTGCGCTACGCATCACACAATGTCCCAAAAACAGTCAAGTTCGAACTGCCAAAACTGGGTTCGCTCAAGGCTTGTGGGAAGAGACCTAGCGTGCTAGCCCATTCCCCCCCATGCTCCTCCAATTCTCTAGCTTGATAGCTTGAGCCTCCTACGTCACCTACATGCCCAACGAAAACCAAGTAGAAGTTAAGAAGATGTGCTTTTTCTCTAAGTACCACAAATGCGCCTCATGGCCTCAGCTGGCTTGTTCATGTGGAAATTGGCATTTCGTACCGTCCGCGTACGCACTGTACAGTCAGGACGGCCTCCGCTCATTGCCAGGAACAGAGCCGTCCCTACCCACATGATCCATGGTCGAATAGTCTCCAAAAGCGTGCCTCCCCTCTTCTTTTGTGTCACTGTTGAGTACGTTCAGGATCTTCATCGCTCAGATATGTCTAGGAAAGTCGTAGTGTGCAGCAACACTTCCTGCAGTGGACTTGCCGTCTCAGCCACTTGCATCATCAGCGGACGTTGACGTAGCATTATCACAAGCAAATCAAAGGACAATTTTGGCTGATTTTGTATCTTTGGGCTTTTAGCTACTTAAGTTAGGAAAGTCGCTGGTATGCCATGAAAACCTGTAGCATGCTTAGAGACTTCAGACACATTGTCACAAAACATCGTTCCATTCAAGCACGTTTCACATTACACACCATCACAGCACTTCACAATGAACAACAGAGCCAGAGGTCCGCCTGGTAACCGGAAAAACAACCAGCATGGAAGGCCAAACCCGGGCCATCGAGACTCGCGAGAAAATAGTCCCGGAGACGATGAATATCATGACGCCAACGGTGAGGGCGAAGACGGCATCGAGCATGAGAAGGAGCCAACCCACGAGCATAATGGTGGTGAAAATACTCATTCCAACCCACCCAAACGTAGGAAGAGACCTGGGCTCGACTCTGAAAAGGAGGACGATGCAGCTCCCGATGGACGGGATGTGGAGCCGGGCGGTCTCGACAACGAGTCTGAAGGCGACACTCCAGAAGAAAACTTTGACGAAGACATTTCACAAAACCCACAGAAGACGGTTGAGAAAATCGAGATCTTATGCAAAGTCATTGGCATATCAATCAAAACTACGCAGACCCGCGTTAAGAAGCCAAAGCCATCTGGAGGCAAAGATGATGACAACGAAGACGTTGATGGTGAACCGAGCCCGGAGTTTGTCAAGCTAGTCAAAAGCGCCATGGATGATGTCGATGACGGCATTGAAACAATCATCAACCTGAACAAAGGCGCCAGCCCTGAAGAGCGTCAGAAGAATATTCTCGATAATTCCGACGATCCGGAAGCAAGCGATAAGTTCGAAGCCGTTAAAGCTGCTCTCTCTAGCATCGGTGCCAGGGTCACTGCCGGGCTTCGAATCCTCGCACTTGTCGGCACCATTGCTCTTGTGGGCGTAGGTCCTGTTCTTGCCGTGGCTCCCATGCATTTGGTGGCTAAGGACATTGCAACATGCATCTACGGCCAGGTTGAGGATCCTCAAAAGTTCAAACGCATCAGCAAACCGGATCAGAAGCCTGCACCTGGTGCACTGGAGACCCAGAGCGCTAGACAGCTGAAAGATCTCTTGAAGAACGACGAGAGTGATGCTGTCATCGAAGGTGAAATCACTGTCATTATGCTGCAAACATATTCTCAATTCAAGTTGGTTGCCGCGACCAAGACGACGATTGACGCAAACAACGATGGCGTGGAGGCATAAAGGTTTTTCGGTCAACTCAGCCACGATATCTAGAAGTTTAGGTGCGCATCAGCTAGAATGTGGAATATTCTCAACAACATAATCATTTTTGGCAGTAGTTTCCAACAGCCTCTGAACTAAATCGAGGCGTGTGACAGCATCGTGTTTTGGTACCAAAGAATCGATTCAAAATGTTCTCGTTATGCATCCAAAGTTTTAATTCGACTGGTGGTCAAGTTCCCTCGGAACTTACCATTGAACATGCTTGTCGTATGGGACATGGCGTTCATGGGCTGGGCACAGTCGCACATTTTCTCATAGATTTTTTGCATGCAGCTTCTACCCGCTGATGGTCATGATAGTTGAGACTATGGTCTACGACAGTCATATTGAGAGAACCAATGCTAAGAACGCAAATCTCTTCCAGCAAAAGGTCTTTCAGTTCAAACCTGAGCAAGCGCAACATAGCACCCTTTGCACTGAAAGAAGCCATCCTCATCATCCCACGTGTTGAATTCTGCGGACACCCTTTTCTCGTCACAAGTCGCGTACAGATCTACTTGGAGATTTCTGTCGGGCTTCACATCAATATGTGAAAAAGCATAGAAAAGACAGGCAGGCTTCTCCTTCATTGGAAAGACGTAGTCTCTTGTAAGTTTCACGCTCTTTGTCCGACGCTGATCGAACGCAATGTCGAGAGGTCCGGAGCGGATGGACCACTCATCTGGCTCGTGGGCAACCCAAGAGGCCGTGATATTGTAAATCCTTGAATCTGGAGACAGGGAAGTCAGCCATCGTGTCATGAGTCCGCACAAGGTCACCATGGATGGGGTTTCCGAGTACGGTCAAGGCTACAGAAAATAGGGAAGAAGGGAGAGACGAACCATTCCAGGTCTTCAAATGCACTGTGAACCCGTTTCTATCCACATCCGAGGACGCCACGTCGATACGCAAAAACTCTTTATCATCAGTGTCAAACGAGCTGATGAAGACAACGACACTCGGGGTCTGGCTGAACGGTTTTGCAAAGGTCTGGCGTTGACAGCGCTCGTTTTCACCAGCCAGACCGTCCCATCTGACGTTTCCAGTCCGAACTCTTTCATCCGCCGGTTTAAAGGAAAGAACGTTGCATATGGCTGCGTTCAGGTGTGTCTCGAGCCACGTTCCTATGTCGATACTGTAACCCACGCCTTCATTGATGTCGGAGACTTCTGATTTGAAGCGGAAGTTGGCATCAAGGCCCATGTCCACCTTACGGATACCAGTCACGATGTTGGCGGTACAAGACGTGTCGAATAAGCGTCGGGCGCTGGCCATTTTTGCTCCCGGCTTGAAGTCTGGGAATAGCGAGGCGTCAGGTGTATCGCATTGAAAGAAGAAAGCTTCCAAAACCTTTGGGTACAAAGACTGCACAAGACTTCGAGCCTCTTGGTCTATGAAACACCCACCCTGTAGTATGTCGGTGCTGCCGTTGGTTAGGCGAGCAGGGAGATCGTAATGCATGATTGACTCGGGATCCCGTAGCTGTTCACAGCCTTTGGCGCCCGTGAGCAGTTCGGCATTGGGAGACTTGCACTCCCGATCCACTTCATCCTTCTTCCATGGCAACGGACACTGATTCAGCTTGGCATGGGGTCTAGAACGCTGTGTCAGTTCTCATGATATTTGCGCAATGCTGCGGTTGTTTCTTTAGTCAAGAAAGAAGCATCACTCACAGTCCGAGAGCGTGGCCAGAAAGATGAAGGGCGAGCCTCTTGATAGAGGCATGCGAATAAACAGCCTTAGAGCTCTTCCATCCGCCGAAGTTGAAGTTCATCGTGGGCTCCACCTCTGACGAGATACCAGCGGCCACAGCGCCGATGGAGCTCCAACTTGGCATGTCATTCCGAAATGATATACGAATGTCTGCAAGCTCGCCAGGGCGTGCCTCTCTCAATTCAAGCGTTTTTCCAAGTCCGGTAAACCACTCATCTATGGCTTCTTTGACGATTTTGATCACAAATTCTGGTGTCTTGCTCTCTTTTCGCGATATTATCGAATAGCGGAGCTGCGAGCCCCGGGGCCATGGTACGATGGTGTCGATACCTTTGCAAGAAATTCTTGGGTTTCCCGGTTGTCCTGGTACGCAGAATAATAACGGTGTCGTGTTCACATACGCGAAGCCAGGCGTCATGGTGGTAGTGGTGGTTGAGGTGGTAGACATACTGGGCTGCCGTGGCTGTTCAAACTGTCGTTCAGATTCTGTCGATAGACAAAATGTTTGTACACAGGGATGGGTGAAGCAAGCTTGATCTTTCAGACTATGGTTTTGGAGAAGCTGGTCGTGCTGGGGATCCTACGCAGAATGCACATACCGCTAAACTTCATCGCAAGGAATGGTCAAGAGGGCTAGACTGTTTATGACACTTTAATCTTCCTCATCCCCGGGACGGCGTTTACTCAATGATGTGTGTGATCCAAAAGCCACTTCCTTGCAGGCTTTTAGGTGCGGGTTTAGTTGGCGTAACCCTAGGTGGCCTAGATCGGTCTTACAATACATGGGGGTGTCTGACACGTTGGTCTGGTATTTTGAGTGTGGTTTGCTGTTTTCGCACACAGTAGGCTGGGGCGACTTGATCATCTTCTTGGGACTGTGGAAGAATGACAGCTGAACGTGGGATCGACAAACTTCCCCAAGAAACCAAGACATTGATCCCCTAAGTACCGCTCGCCCAAGCCATATTATCCCCTCGGGTATCAATTCACCCTTCGGCTAGAGGCACCGGACACAGCAAGGCGTTCAGCTGTTCGAGACGTTTGCGTAGGTGGCTCTTCATGTGGGGAAGGCGGCCGCTAAGGTAGGCCTTGAGTTTTCGAAGATCACTAGCTAATATTGCCACGAGGTGTTGAAGCGGGCGCCGGACGTTCAGCTCTTCGCGTTGGCGCCCTAGTAATACCAGTCTAAACTAAATCTCAACTTCAGTCGCCCATTATGCTGCTCAGCTCCAGACCTTCTGCCAGTAAAGATTGAGCTCAAGATTTTCGCGTCCAGCCTCTTGCGTAGATGTTTTGGGCGTTGGGCCTTGGCACATTGGCAATCGAAGGGGCCACAAAAATGCGCATGTCTCGGTACTTGAGATGATCAGCTTTCATGGCATTCTTGGCGCGGGATGTTCCGCGACCCGATGAGGGACACAGCAGCTGGTGGCGGCAGTTCAAGTGCAAAGAGGGGCGTTGCGGTTACATGTCACATGGCAGTCCACAGCTTGGCCGAGTATGAATGTCACGCAAGCACCTTTGTGAAGAGCGCAGCGGATGGAACTGATCGGTCATGCTAATACCAAGGAGGCGAGATGACATGAAGTATCATGAGGTCGCGATGGGATCAGGCCATTATAAAAATTAATTTGTCCTTCATGATCGTTTTGATAGCGGCCTCTTCGGTGTGCATGATCAATAAGCTGACGAGGAGGAGATGGTAAAAGTGAGGCATCTCATTCATTACCGATGCGTCCACGGGACATTTTCGGTCTTCTGGAAGGCCTCACGAAGAAGATTTATCATCCCGAATGACTGCGGTCTCATACGCATGACGACTATGATATTGTCAGAGACGTTGTTTATACTTTGAGTGGATAATTCTGGCTGTTCGGGCGGATGGTGATGATGAGATACCAGCGACGTCGTCGATGTTAATAACGTTGACGATCAGAGTGACGAAAACACCGACAGTAGCGGTGGTCGTAGAATATCATGCAACAACAAAAATACCAAAAATACAGATTTAACCACAATAAACTAGTCCAGATACATAACAGGTGGTTATTGGCCCTGATTAGCTGAACGTATCCGTCCGGATAGCCAAGCTCTTGGGGAACATCATGGGCACGATAACGACCCAATTATTCCGCAACCATTATGTTCCCTGGGAAGAACACAGAGATACCTATGAGACTCAATTGTATCGATGGAGATATTGACTGCGAATGCATTGCTTCACGCAGTATATACCAAGAAGGCGTTGAATCTCAATGGTGAATCACTGCTCTCCATCGGCCAGATTGAATTCTAGAGAAGACTTGATGCTACATTAACACTAAAAAGCCTGCCGCACTCACCCATCACGGGAATACCATGATCCAAAACACAGCTCCTTCTCAGTTGCAAGGCGAAGATCTTTGAGAGGTTGTGGACATTTTACTCCTCTAATCAACGGAGTTCAGTGTGCCCTCTGGCTTCCTAAAAGGTGCATGCTACAAGAGACCGTGGTTCTATATGCGGGATTTCAGACTCACTGGATCACAAAGACTTGTATTCCCGACATGGAAGTTGTCGGGGTGACGGGCTACATCGCCTGATGGTAATGTAGATTCATCCCATGTTCCCTGATTGGTTCGCCTGTTTGTGATGGCCTTTTCGCGAGGCAGAATCCCAGCTTTCAAACCCAGAGCGGGACCCATCTCAGCCTGCAGAAATAAGATGCTAAGCGCCCTGGTGGGTAACACAGGGCCAAATGATTGGGCAGATCCTACATACGTGAGGTGGCTCACATGGGAGATGGACCAACACAAGTTATGCCCTTGGCATCAGGCAGCATTTTAAAGATCCTAAACCCCCTTGTATCCCGTGGAAAGCTTACTCTTATGAAACATTATGATATCCCCTGAGCGAGGGCACGGCCTCTGGGCTCTGGCGTCACCCCTTCTACCCATTGGATCGTGCCACGAGAGACCAGAAAATAACTCAAGTCAATCAACATGGAGGTGCTCGGCGCAGTTTCGAGTGCCGTCGCCTTGGCAGAAATCTTCGCAAAAAGCGTTCTCACGACGAAGAAACTTTGGGATGAGGCACAAGATGTCCCTGAAGAGATCAATCGACTGATGAATGATCTCACGCATTTGAAACCGATGCTGGAAGAGGCCGAGGCAGTCTTCAATAATCAGGCCCAAAACCCATCTACCGATACGGGTCTATTACTAATGCATAACTACAAGGAGGTGTCTGGGAAGCTTCACCTTTTAGCTGCGGATTTGAATCAACGGATTGTGACAGCGAAAAGGGGGAAGAGGAACTTGACGAAGCTGAAGGCAATGTTGAGCAAGACTTTGATTCAGCGTTACCAGAGAGAACTAGACAGCATTTCCCAGACACTTTCGTTCTTCTTCAATGTGCACAACTTGCATTCTCAGAAGGAGTCACAAGCGTTGCATTTGGAGTCCATCAGTTTACACAGGAATACGGACGACAAGATTTGTCAGCTTTTGTGAGTTCAAGACAGTATTTGGGTGTAGTCATGATCTTAATAATGCTATCTAGGTCCTTGGTTCAGTCTCGTCTGCTGCCTCAAACCGTGCACAATATCCAGCCCAGTCGGCTTGAGGGAGATCCAAACAGTTTCGATGGCGAGATGGTAGAAGACGGAGTTGGATTCTCGAACCAGAATTGCCTATTTCAAACAGAAAGACGTCAGAGAACGCAGAAGCCAAAACCGATCGCTTGGCGCCCGCGACGGTTGTTCGGCGGTTACACCTACCAGACTTCAGAGCATCCCGGAAAACAGAGAACAAAAGGTCAGTGCGTTTATATCCAACGAAGAAAATTTATTCCTGACATAGTGAAGTCATTCAAGTGCGGCTTGAACTTCCATGGTGCTTGTCTGGAAGAGCTTGGGACTTTGAAGCACACCGTAGCCCTATGGGGTGGAACATGTCGATCAGACCTTGGACTGTCCGTCCACCCGGCGACCGAATTTTCAGCCTTGTCAGAGAAGGCTCGTGGCCCGAAATCGCGGAGCAGTTCAACAGTGGTCAAGCATCCATCTCAGACCGCGACGCGTACGGTAACTGTCTCTTGACAGTACGTGGTCCCTCAGTTGAGATGCAATGGCCGTGCAATACACATCACACTTGGAAGCTAATCATCAAATGAACATATAGATCGCCTTGGAATTCGACCGCTATGATGTTGCCAGAAGTCTCGTGCACACAGGCTTTGAGATCGAAGGTTCGAGGGTGCTGCAAGTCATCGAACATATTTGTGCCAACCGACCGTTTGGGCACTCCGATGTTGCCATTGTGGAATGGTTCCAGTTTGCAGCTGAGCTTGGGCTTCTCGGAACTCTCACCGAAAAGATGTGCGGCGATGTTGACGTTACACTTGCCTGTCTTGATGTCTGGCACCACGCTTGGAAACTTCCCGAAGTATTCTCCCTTTTTATTACAGAGAGAACTAACTTCCTCGGCGAATATTCAATCCTTGGGCTGTTCCGAAGCCTGTGGTGGAAAAAAACAGACCCTCGATTTTTCCTAGAGCTCTGTCGCAACAAAAACATCAGTCCACAGTTTGACAGAGAATACGTTATGAAAAACACATCGGGGGGAAATATGGTGGACTTTGCTCAAGAATATTTTGCGCTTGCACCCGGACGCGTTGCCCCATCCGGCATCCCGTATTTGGACAGTAGGTATGATGGAACGACCTTTCAAGATTGGAAAGAGCTTGCAGTATGGGTCTTGACGGACATTCCGATGGACGAGCTAGTGTGGCAACCTTCAGAGATATCACAAATCCCTGCAGCAAGTCCCTTCCTAGAAGGCCTGTACTCTGGGACCCAGGATCTGCATGAGGGCGATAGATCACCTCGCAACATGCGATTGAACAAACGTCGACTAAACCAGACCATGTGCTCTTGGCTTGAGGACGCTCAAGCATCAGGCATAGACTTAGCAGAATATGGACGGCGCCAGCTAGACATACATAACTCCGGTTATGAAAGCTTTGACCGCAGGTCGAACCTTGGTATGATACGTTCGGGCGGCCCGCGACTGATCTCGTTTATGTTTGGCCCTCGCCCACAAGATTGGAAGCTTATCTGGGATCCTGACGTCGAGGAGTTTGCAGGAGACTTTTGGGATTTCACCGAGAATCCACCTCTTCACATTCCAGGAGCCTATCCGGAAGATGATTGGTAACATAAGCATGTACTGCAATACGGCGGAAGAAAACTACTGCACTAGCGTTATCGAGAACAAAAAAGGCGATGGCTTCATATGAAATTTACAGTAAGCTTGTAGCATCTTAGAATGTGGTTTAAGTCAAGGTCTTAGTTGGTAGCTTTGAACCTGACGTTCTAGTTTCGTTTGGGATTAATTCCGAATATAGTAAAAAATGTAAGATTAGTGATCGCGGCTATCTTGTGTTTGTTCGTCTCGGTGGTGTGAGAGAAGCGGAGAGGGAAGACGAGAGGGATGACGTGGAGGGGTTCTCAGCCTGTCACATCTTAACGCCCTGGCATGTGTCCAAACCAAACTTTGACTCCAGTCCGGTGCTATAATAACTTGGATCTTGGCTGATCAGTGACAGGCTTAGTTTGAGCACTTTCAGTGTCTTCCGTAGATCATGTGGAAGTTTAGTGGTTAGGGGGTGGCTAAGTTGCTCATGCCTGAGAACTTAGCTCAATCTGAAAATGACCTTCAGTGAGGGAAGGGTGGTCGAGAAGGCTGAGGAACGCTGAGAACGTCTAAAAAGGCTATGTAGAAGTGAGCCTCGTTAATTCAATCTGTTTCAAATATCCACCACATCTCTTAGCACAAAGGCATGAAGGTTGCAGAAGCAAAGAGCCTTAAAATTCTGATGCCTTAGGAGACGGCCCATCATGGCGAAGCTAGGCCAGGGACCTTTCTCGCAATAGGCTTAACAGCTCATACTTTTTAGAGATAAAACATAAGAAAAGGGTTGGAATGATATCACGGCCTTCGAGCTTCACTCCTAACTATTAGGCGACTGTTTCTAATAAAAAACATAATTATTATTTCAGGGACTCCTAGCGCTTGGGCATTTTTTGTAGTCGAGGATAATTCTGAAAGTCCAGCACCAGTAGCGTGACCACCACTATCTCCAAGTTCGCTCATCCCTCCATCTTGCTCCTCACACGCCCATAAACAGCTGCTTTTGCTGGAGACTAGACATGCCTTTCGTAATATCGTTGAATACCCCCGCATAAGCCATGGCGACCATCCATGCCGCTAACAAGCCCTCAAGTACCAGCAATTTGATGAGAGCTTCGTCTTCGACCTTGAACTTTGTAAGAATGGCATCGAGCAAAGCCAATGTTTTGAAAATAAAGATGATGCTGCCCCCTGTCAACGGTCTATGTCAAGCTTCAATTCATCGTGTGAAGGCTTCTTACGGCAACCGACTCCGGCCAATGTCGTAGACAACGCCGAGAATGCCATTGGGTCTTGGCTTGTTCCTAGGCTCCGGCATTTCATCGCCTCGATTGCCGTCGTGGAGTGGTAAGACGTCGTTTAGTTGCTTGTCCATGATCAGTAATCTCAGCCGTGTGTTGCTTGCAGATGTCGGACTAGGTTCTGAGCTTCTGAGATGAATGACCAAAGGGGTGAATGGAGATGATTTGCTTGAACCAGTGCGGAGTAATCGCCCGGGAAAGCTTCTTGAGTACATCATGTCTTCTGAGTACCTTGAGAAACGTTGAGTCCATCTTTGTGGCGCACAAAGTCTAAATTGATTACTCAGTCTTCTTGGAGGCTCTCACTACGTTCATCTAATTGTCTCTCGAGATAGCGGACAAAAATTGTTGAGACCGCATATTTTCCCTATACTAGCCCGAGCGACTACTTCTCCCCTGTGCTCGCTATCATCGTTATCGTTGTAATCGCTATTGTCGTTACTATTATCATCACTGTCATCGTCGTCGTCCCTTGTTATCGTCCTTATTAAAGCCAGTACCTGATCAGGAAAAGTAGTCGCTTTAGCACAGGAAAAACAGACAGTTTGTTACTTCTCCATGGCTGCACTGATAATAGATACACAAAGTCGACATCCCGGGCGCGTATGACAACGTCACGCAGCTTGAAGCCGTGAAACCAGCTCAAGCTTAACCAGCCAACCTTGTTCATCCTCTGCGACTTCGACAATGAATATTTCAGAGGACACAAAACGCCTCACGTCCAACCTGTCCCAGAATGTGTCAAATTATGACGTTCATCCATGAAATAAAAGCTTGCGTACGCAACGCAAATCCCCTGCCCCTGCATCAAACGGGCTCCCAACCCGGACGCAGGCACACCCCGGTCCAGCACCGCTGCCGTGCTCCGATCGTCAAGCTTTAAGGCTTCTCAATTGGTCGCCCGAAAAGCGGGACGCCTAACAAGCTGGGCGCGCCGTCAAACGGCCCCCCGAAAGCGCGCTAAACCCCTCCTGTAAAAGTTTCCCGAACAGCTGCCTCAGCCTGGCGCAAACTCCCATGTCGGCGAGCCGCATTTTCGCGTGCGTTTCCACCCTTTCCACCACCCACCCGGGCCAGCAACAAGGAAGCTGCATGATCCCATCCCACATTCGGGGAGGCGTAAGACGTACGACCGACTATCTCCCTCCCGCAGTGCGACACGACACGACACACACGGCACGCCGCCTCGAACGGACCAACAAAAGAGACAACACCTGCTGCTGCCTCGCCTCGTGGCATACTCTCCGGCCGCAATGTCTCCCCCTCCATCGCGCCGTCGACCCAGCGCCGACGAAGATCTGCTCTGCCTCCCAATGCGCTGAAGGATTCCAACCCAGAAAAACAGCCCCCGAAAACCCGCGACAATGATCGCCCTCAACTCCCGCCTCCGAAACATCCTCCCCGCCGTCTTCCTCTTCGCCCTCGTCCTCGTCCTCGTCCGCTTTCGCGAGAGCATCACCACCACCGACTCCCTCTTCAGATCCTCCTCCGGCGACGGCAGCAAATCCTCAAAACCAGCCGAGACGCCGCGCTACAAGCCCGCGCCGACGTACACCCCGCCGCCCGTAGTCGACCCCTTCCCCCTCCTCGCCAACACCGCCTCTCCACCACCGCCAGTCCCCGCGCACAACCGGCCCCGGAAGGATGTCCACAAGGAGTACGGCCTCGAGGCCATGCCGCCGCTCTTCATCGGCTTCACCCGCCAGTGGCCGATCCTCCTGCAGTGCGTTGCGAGTTACATCGCCGCCGGCTGGCCGCCCTCCTCGATCCACGTCCTCGAGAACACGGGCGTGCAGATTGCCAACGCAAGAAACAAGCTCTCGCTGCAGAACCCCTTCTACCTCAACCACACCACCCTCTCCCGGCTGGGGGTGAACGTCGTCCAGGCGCCCGCGCTGCTCTCCTTCTCGCAGATGCAAAACATGTTCCTCCACACGGCGCACGCGAACAACTGGCCGTACTACTTCTACTCCCACCAGGACGTCGTCGTCTTCTCCCCCGAGGACGGCCGCGACGACACCCACCGCCCCGGCGACCGCCCCTGGGAGTTCTACTCGGACGCCGAGCGCGAGGAGGTGATGAACCCGCCCGCGGCGGGCGAGAAGGGGTACCGCACCATCTACGAGAACTGCCTGCGCGACCTCAACACGACGCTAGAACGCAAAGAGAAGTGGGCGTTCCGGTGGTACCAGTACGACCACCTCACGCTCGTCAATCGCGCGGCGATGGACGCCATCGGCGGGTGGGACTCGCTGATCCCGTACTACGCGACCGACTGCGACATGAACGCGCGGCTGACGATGGACGGGTGGACGATGAAGCACCGCCGCGTGGGCATCGTGAACGACGTGTCGACGCACCTCCGGGATCTGGGCGTGCTGTTCCGCGTGCCGGGGGCGAAGGCCGAGTGGGTGGACCCGAACCCGCCGAATCCCGCGGACGTGAAGAAGGAAGAAGAGGCAAAGGCCAAGAAGGCTGCAGAAGAAAAGAAAAAGGCCGAGGAAGAAAAGAAGAAGAAGGAAGAAGGGGAGAAGAAGAAAAAGGCAGAGGAGCAGATGAAAGCCGCCTCCCGCGACAACGCGGCCTCCAAATCGCAGGCCGACGACCTCGAAGCTGAAGCTGGCGCGCGGGAGTACTTCCGCTCCGTCGTGGCCGTCGTGTTGGAGATGACGAACTACAAGTACCGGGGCGGCAACGACCACAACCGCAACTCGTGGCAGAAGAGCCAGCGCGGCGGCGAGGGCGAGCCGTACTACTACAACTCGGAAGGTTTCGCGGAGGCGTTCGAGGTGCTCGTCGGCGCGGGGCGCAAGATCTTTGAGATGAAGTGGGGCCGGGGCGGGTGCGATATCGCGGAGGGGTTTGGGTTGAAGGTTGCGGATCAGTGGAGGGTGTTGCCGAAGGAGGGCAAGTGAGGATGTGGCTTAATGAGGAGGTTTGGCCATGAAGTAGAGTAAATGTGCTGGAGAACAGAATAAAATCAGGGCGCCGGAAGGTATGCGGATGTTACTGATGAATTATATCGATAGACACGGGTAAGCTCCTGTCTTTGAGGCGCGGTCTAAAATCAAACCACCGATTCAAGTAACGATGTTGGCATATGTAATCATGTCTTGGTATTCCGTGGCCAAAGCCATCTATGCTAACTCACGCACGCAAGTCTATCGCTCATATTCGAGGGAAGGCTTTCTAGTGCTGCCGCCGCCATGCTCATGCATACATCAAACAATGAAAGGAAAAGGAATAATTGGGAAATCGTACACGTGCTCTCCAAATGCCCACCAAGACGCCATACCCGTCTATCTAGGTATCCCGGGATCCAGAAAAGTTCAAAAGAAAAAGCAAGCACACACGCAGCTCGGGGCCGTTCTAGCCGCACCGTCTGCGAATGCTTCAGATACACTTCATCCATACATACACACACCACACGCCTACGCTCTCATGCTTATGCCTGGGAGGTAGCGTTCCGCGCCAGCGCGCCCCCGGCCTGGATCTCGCCCAGACCAACCTTGATGCCGCCAGAGGAGGCACCAGCGGCCTGGGGCTTGGAAGGGGCAGGCAGGGCCTTGGCCCCGCCGCCGCCGCTGCTCTTCAGCACGTCGTCGCGGGTGACGCCGAGCTTGTCCTGGGACAGGCCCATGGACTGCAGGAAGCGTACGGTCTCGGACCACTCGGCGGCCTTGCGGGCGTCGGACCAGGCGAGCTCCTCGGCCATGACGTCGA